ATCGCTCTTCAGTTTCAATAAGTTTCATGTTTTTGTTTGTAATTTTTAATCATTCATTCAATCTTAATTTTCTTCTGTCTCTCGTTAATCATGTGCACGCTATCGAAAATTTTATCCTTCTCAGAATCTACATAACATTCATTGAGTTAAACAGCACTCACAATACTATTTCTTGTTAAAGTCATTAAATTATTTCCCAATTAGATAGTACTCATTTATGTGCTAACTAGACGGTGGTAAAAGTATAATATACTGACGGCCTTAAGTTGACCAATCAGAATCAAGATAGCTCATCATGTATTTCGCGCGAAATCTAAGGTGGGGTAACTTGGAAAAGTATAAAAGTTCTATAATACCTTACCTAGCAAATATACTCTGTGACGAACGGGTTGTTAGAATTAACCTAGTCAATAACTTGCATTCTTAGCATGTCTTTAATTTTAAAAAGTTTGTACAGTTTTTTGGGTTTTTTTTTCTTTCTTTTTTTTTAAAAAAAAACCTTTTTGTATTTGTTACTGCCTTTTTGTTCGTTGTTCAGTAAGTAACTTGTTGAAATACCTGTGCTGAGAATTATATATTGTACCAAAATATAATATTGAATAAAGCCATTAATAATGATAACAATAATAATAATAACTGAATGAAAATTGACAATAATCAATCCTTAAAATTCTCGGAATCATTGAAAATATCCATTGCGCAACCGAAATGAGGATTTAAGATGGTGCTTAACTTACATATCAAAACATACCTGCTCCTAAGATAAATCGTTGGTAAAGTGCTTAATATGACTCAATGAATAGTCAAGTGTTTGATAAATCTATATAATATGCTCCCTTTCCAACCCTTCCTCTAAATTTCAACCCTGTCTCCCAAGTTCGTAAGCAGAAGGGTGACAATTCATTGAATTATAACTGATGTCAGTTCCTGTTGAAAATTCCAACCTTCATTTGTAAACACAACTCAAAACTCCAACATTACTCTTAATACCTAACTCGAACCTTTCTAAATTATAATCCATGTTATATAACGATGAAAACTCAGAATACTACCCGACTCCTAATACGTAAAACTAACCTTTTTCCTTTACTACAAAGAATGGTTCGGCATGTAAGGGTAAAATATTGAGATAACAAGCTGCTATTGTACTGTTATTTTATTGGTTGTTATTGTCTGTTGTTTTGTAATTATGTCGCGTTTACTCATTGGCTGACGAACCTCTCAAGGTCGTCAGTGTAGTATACTTTCATCAATATGATAATAATAATACTCGGTTTATTCACCACCATATGTTTAATTAAAGTAAAGAATCCTCAGAACAAAGTATGTAGGATCGCTACAAGATTCTCATCTAATAAGCGTTTCATTTGTGAATATTCAAGAAATATGTATAAATGTTAGATCCTTATAAAACGATTAATAGTGGGATTTCCTACACTTCTTATCAATTCAGGAACGAATGATGTATCCTATTGTAAACGGTTCTATTGTGGACTCGATACAATACTTCGACAATTAGCCGCCAGAACACGAAGGAATGTAGGAAAAAACGTGAAATTCGAATAAAACTAAATGAAATAGTGCGTCTCACTAACCATAGTAACGGAAGTACAACCCTTAACTACAATGAATTAACGAACTAAAAGTAGTAACAGTCAATCGGTAAAGGGCAAAAGCTATGAAATAAACTGAATTAGAAAATGCCAATCATGGTTACCATCACTAGTAATATTCTAACATTTTTAGCAAAAGTTTACTAATTCTGTGATCGCCTTAGCAATAAGTCTTTAATCAGTGATTAGCTGCCACTGAGATGCATCCGTAATTGTTTACGGTGGTTCTTGCTCTTATGGTATTTCTCATCACCGAATATATTTGATGTACAGATTCTATGGTAATCGCGTCTGATCTCTCCAAAAACAGGAGTAGGAAAATATACAGAGTACTTTGGTAGTGCATCTCGAATTCTTCAATAAAATTTTTTTCGGTATGTGTACATTTTATGAAGCCGCTTATGTACACGCAGTCGATAATTTTAATTAATTGATTGAAACAGATCTAAAACAGGAACATAATTTTGGTGATGAATGAACGTTTACAAAAGTGGTAGCCCAAACGTTTGTGCAGACCTCCTGGCAGCTGACATTCATTCCTACTTCTACATGAGTAGTAAAAACGAAAGTCTCATATTTCATATTTAACTTAGTTTATTCACATTCTTCTCGTCAGTGTTTTCACGTTATTTAATATGGGACGTTTTAAAACGTAATTTTTGATGATAGCTTGTTTTATAAGCTTAAATCATGAAACTGATATGATGAATAGTTATTTTATGAAGCTATTTTCATTACAAACTGACATTATTTGAGAGCTGAAGAGCCATTGAACACATACTCTATCGTAATTCGAATTCTATCATTTTCACTTTAAGGCCTGAAGTTTCTGTGTTCAGTCTTGTTCGTTAGGTCATAAGTGCACATTTCAGAAGAGTCACAAATTAAAATAAATCAACTGTTCAATGTTCCATCACTGTCAATGGTTTTATAATTAATGTCAATTCATGGTGATAATGTTCTCCAAGTTGTATAAAACCAATAAAATTCCATCTGAAAAAAGTAGTTATTTTATGATTTATGTACTTTTCTCTTTGTGTTTTCAAAGCTTTTCCCCTGAATTTCCACTTAAGTACTCATCTTAAATAACCACATTAACGAGCTACCTATTTTGTAGCTTGTTTATACTTTGTTTTCTGAAATGTATGTTCTATCTAGCAGAGTGTTCTCATCTATGTTTATTATTGTTCTCGTCATTTTTTAACCATTTTCCAGTTCCCTAACACGAAGTATCTTCATGAATGGATGTTATTTTGTCTACCTGAATATTCAACTTCCCCACCACCACCGCACACACGCGTCCTTTTCCATTTATATTCACCTCTCTGTGTCCGTGTGTTGATTTGGATATGTTTACATTCCACTTAACTATTCACATCTATGTTCAGTAATATTAGCATTCACGTGTACGACTGAAATACATAAACATATACGTCCCTTTATAATCCAATCTACATGGTTATTTCATCTGCCATGGATTTTCGCATTCCTGTCTCCATTATTTAGTGTTTATAGCTTTTGATCACATAAAAACGATCGATTATCTGTGTTTTTCTTTGTTGTGTATATAGGATGAAAGAAAATACGCGTTCACACATGTAATGTCTATAACAATAAATATTATTTTTGAAGACTATGTCATCTTAAATTGATATATCAATCTTTCACTTTAATTTAAAGAGTAACCTAAGGCCAGATGATCTATTGTGTTGTAGTGAATCTTCAGCGCTATCCGTAATATATCTTGTCTTATAATCAAAGTCAGTATTTATGTATAATATGACAGCATATATCCTAGAAAGTTATCTGTATTTCAATCATCATACAGTAGTTGATTGTTTCAGAAGTTACTAATTCTCATTAAAATCATTGACGATTTCGCTAAACCGAGCATTGATTAGTCTACAGAAATATTTTTGAGTTTATACCTTCTTTTGTTGGTAAATTAGGAAAATGAAAGAATTTTTAAAATATCGATGTGACTGTCCATATCTGTTTTGACTGTCTATCATGACTCACCTGGACTAAGTACAGAATCCGAACTCACTGGTTTAGAGATTAAACATTCGCACACAAGATGGAAGGTTCTGAGTTCGATTTCCTCCTGCAGAGTAGTGGACGCGCGCTACTTAGGACTCTCTTACTATGAGGAGATGACTGTCCATTGCTCCCAAGTTTTCAATCGTTATCTAGATTTGATCGGTTTGTGATTTTAGTGAAGTATAAAATATTTCAAACCTAGGATCAAACAGTTATTTTGTTTATTATCATCAACTAATTACTAATTTATATAAGACGATTTTTATTTTAATATCGTTATTTAGTTTCTCATATTATGCTATTTATTTAAAATACTGCTAATAATTATCAAATGAGCCTAAGCGAAGAATATATTGGTTAGAGCTGGAAAAACTCATATTAACTGTCAATAAAATTTGAAAGGATTTTTCTACATGGTCATGGAAAACTAATTTAATTGCAATCGTAGTGACGTAATTGCATGCTGTAATCAGTTTTTGGTTTATTTAATAACTATCAAAACCCAACTAGCCTTTAGCAATCGTCCCTAAGCTCTATAGTTAAGCACACATCTGTTCGTTAATTACATAGCAATCCAACTGAAAGTAATAGCTAATTCATTTTTTTTCCAATCACTGATATTTCAGTGATCCATTTCGGTCAATATAATGAAGAGTATCATTATGAGAGATGTTTAGATTGGGAAAAATACTTTTTATTTGTGATCAACAATCAAGGTGAATAACTTATTAGTTGGAAGACCAGTAAGATTATTCAAACTCATCTGTTTTACTCTTCTAATCGTAATTGTACTGTATATGGATACCTCCATGAAAGTGCTTCTAGAAGGAAATGAAGTTAACTGGTTCACTTTCAGTGAACAATGTGTTATCGTCTACTTTTCAACATTAAATAATTCATTATTAATTATTTTAATAGTTTAAATCACGAACCGATCCCAACTAGACCACTCTCAAAAACCTGGAAGCACTGGACGACCGTTTCTTCCCAGTGTGGGACTTAGCAGTTTAGATTCACGACCTCACACGCGAATACCTGATCTCTAGACTACTCGGCCGGAACCCAACAGTGTTAGTGTCTAACTCCAATCAATCCACGATATTTCACAGCCCTCATCCATTGTCTACGGTGGATAAATGTCTCGCATCCGGCAGTGCTCACTAGTGATGCACTGTTGAGGAGTCCCATGCTAGGACGAAATGGTTGTCTGCTACTTCTAGATTTTCATTTGTGGTCTAACTAAGATGAGTTTTTCATTTGAACTTTGAAAATTCTAGTCTCTACAAATTCGCTTGTGCTAATTGCTTTACTACTAATTTTTATGAGTGCTATCTATTTTAATTTTAGGGAGAATCGCAATTTAAAACTTTATGTCGACCAGGTCACTATCGAGCTGCAAGTAATGGAGATAATGATTTTCCAAAAAATTATTTGAAAAATGGTTTTCATCATGATAAAATCGATTCTTATATGGTAGCTAAATCTATGATTGCTTTCAGTGCACAATCTCAATTAACTGATAGTAATAATAATGATAATAATATCACTACGAATGGTCAAGACTATGCACTAAAAAGAGATGATGATAATGGAGTCGAAAATATAAAAAGGACTGACAATGAAAGTAAACTGGAAATGAGCACTGATGATGACGATGATGAGAATCATGATGATAGTAACGATGATGCTGTTGGTGATGGTGGTGAGTATGTTGAAGTAGGCAGTGATTCTGGCAATGCTCTTGCGTATTTATCAAATAATCCTACATCTCCTTCCTTATCTAATTCTGCTAATCAACATTTTCTATTGGAAAACTATCCATCAAATACTACTACTACTGCTGGTACTACTGGTAATCCTCCAATTCCAAATAGTGGTCGTCATACAATAAGTTCTGCTTATGAACGAGGAGGTCATGCTCCTGCGCGGGCTTCTATAACTGCTCTGTCTTTCAATCCACCCGGTAAGTTGTTTTACGCAATACACAGACACTACTTATTCCGAGCTTTTCGAAATGTTACACAACTTTGTGATGATATATATATATATATAAAGCGGAAGTGCTATTCGAACCCCTAACCCGACTTTTAAATCCTGCCCTTATACTTCAGTCAGTCAGTCAGTCAGCTACAACGTGGGACAAGGCACATATATGCATCGGTCCAAGTTGCCATACCGCATCAGCACAACAAGATGAACACCGGATTCATAGCAGTGGTTAGGTCAAAGGTAGTAATATGTAAGAGAAAGATTGCATATAGAGATATAGTACAAGAAGAAAGAATTGGTTCGTAGAAAGAAAGATATGAAGTGATTTTAATCTCTTAGTTTAAGGGAAGACAGAGTGTATACACCGACGCCATTGTGATCGATTCTGAGCCATGTCACCAAGAGTCTCCAACCATTGGTTACGAAAGTCACGCGGACCCCAACCAAGTAGTCTGCATCTACCAACATGGCTCAGACTAGAAGTTAGTGACTTCAAACACTGATGCCACGTTTTGGTTTGGCCGCCCCTAACTTTTTTCCAACCATCTCCAACACCGGTTAGCATTGCGCGTCGTGGTAATCGGTGTTCGGGCATACGTATACTTATACTTTTGAGATTTAAGTGTCATCACAACCAAATTTATAGACCAGGTAAGTTGAGTAATGAATTGAACACTTTGCGAACTGTTCACTTGCTGACCCTGCAATCATAATCATTCTTCGTAAACAATGAATCTGATTTTTCAATCATAGTTTCAATATAAAATTCAGAAACTTCTGGTTGGCTGGTATTCCTTGCCTTCATGAGGAATGATATAAAACCAGTGGCTAAATTTGAATGGATTATTGGCTTACAAATGGGAATAAGTTGTATGTTACTTCAATTAGTCTTGATTGTTCATAATCATAGGGAGTGAAGTAATCGAGTATGTTGACAACTACATATATCTTGTAAGTCTCAAGCCCTGACGGGTTGGTATCCGACGAAATCTCGATACGGATTCAAAAAGCTCGTTCGGCTTTCGTCAATTCGCGTCACTTTCATTGTAGGATGGATGTCTGTCTGCAAACAAAAGGGTTAGTATACTATATACCAGTCCTTTCTGTATCGGTTTGCGACTGCGGGACACGATCTATGGGAGTAGAAAATATTTGAAGGCTGTAGGGTTTTGATTATTGACTCAGACCTGTCAAGTTTGTCTCATTGTAGATCTTGAGTCCTAGTATTCCTTCATCTATAACTTTCCATTTTGTCTCTTCGAAATTTACTTTCAATGTTCAGTCTTTCTCATTATCATTACTACTACAAATTAATTTGATTCCTTTACTATTCACCTTGTTAGTTTCGCGTCATCATGCTAATCCGGTATAACAGCTTGGAATATTCCCCAATTTCACCATATTCTTTGTTGACTAAAACTGACTGAAATTGAACTAGTATGATATTCTACCACCTTTTGCGTTATCCTCTTTTACATTTTCACTTCCTTATCTTTAAATAATTAGTTTGTATTAGACTTAAAGTGACTAGACCAACACACCGTGCTAATCTATTCAGTCACTGAGAGTTAATATGAATCAGGTTATAGTTTTCAAACTTACTATTTGTAGTCCGTAAAATAATCCAACTCTGCTTTGAAAGATATTAAGTGAAATGGCTGAAAATTATCAGACACAATGTAGCGCACAGATGGATTCCTTCCTTATCTTTCTCTCTAAACCCTAGAACAAAGGAACATTTCAATTTTTCCCTCATCCTATTAATTTCCTATTCTTACTATGTTTATAGTGAAGTATAATAATTTAAACAGACTCTACTTTGTTTACGCCTGTCTCATTAAGTGTTTGCAGTCTATACTCATCCTTCAATGTGTATTTATACTTTTTTCTTTCAATTACTGCTAGATATAATTGTCGTGTTGTTGTTTGTGTGTGTATTTTCTGCTCTTATTTCTTTATTTTGTTTTCTTTTAAAAAAATGAATTAAGTTGGCAAAGCTTCTTCCAAAGATAGTGGTGTTGATTCGTCCACTGTACTCTACCCGAAACAAGCTGTACCACCTCCAGTCTATACAAATCTCATTCAATTGGCTCATGCAGCACAACGTAAATTTTCCATGTCACAATTACCAATTGTTCATTCATATGAAAATATAGATAGTACATTAGATAGACTTCGTTATGCTAAAACTGATATGACCAATTGTCAACAACAATTTGTTCATCATCAATCATCAAGTCGTAATTCAATTTCTACAAATCCACAACAATATCATTATACAACAAATGCTTCACCGAATACTACTAATATTAGTAATACGAATAATTGTAATTGGTCTGCTTCAGATAGTTTAAATAAACTTGATTTAAGTGATTCGGCTGTCAGTCAAAGTTATCATGATGAAGAAAGAAAGTATGCTAATCCTTCAACAGTATTAAAACCTCAAGTTGACAAATTAGCTAATAGTACAAGTCTATCTAATTCATGTCACAGTTCAAAAAATTGTCTGGATACTGTTTCAATGTCTGATGCCACTTCTACTGCTAATTCTACTTCAGTTGTTGCTGGTAATAATGAGTTACATTCATATCAAAGAAGTGGAACAGATCCATTCAGTATGGAAATGGATGAACTTGATCAAGTTATGCCAGGTAAAATTAATTAGTTCTAATTAACTTTTTTGTCAGCTAGGGGTTGTGGAAATTGTTGAATTTCATTGAGATCATGAATCGATTAATGTTAGATCACCATTGAAAACCTGGAAGTACTAGACGGCCGTTTCGTCCTAGTATGTAACTTCTCAGCAGTGCGCGTCCACAACCCCGGGCACGGGAACCGAACTCACAACGTTCGGTCTCGCGCGGGAAGTCTTGATCTCCAGACATTTGAGTCGACATTATACAACCTTTATATGTAAAACTGTGAACAAGATTTATTTACACCACAGTCGAGCTAATCCGTGTCATTTGTGATGCAGTTACCGATTGAAAACAACCGAAGACTGTAGCACAATATCGTGGATTGACTGAAATTAGACATTAACACCATTGAATACCAACTCAGAGGTCTAGATTTCAAGACTTCTTGCGCGAGGCCGAATATTGTGAGTTCGAGTCCCGTATCCGGGGTTGTGGATACACACTGTTGAAAAGTTACATACTAGAACGAAACGGCCGTCTAGTACTTCCAGGTTTTTAATGGTAATCTAACATTAATCGGTTCATGAGTTCAGTGTAATCTTTCCCCCTTTAGATGTACAGATGTAGTCACAGATTTGTATTGTCCTTTTTATGTAGTCTTCTGTAAAACAAAAATATTTTAACTTATGTTTATGCTTTTGCCGTGTTGTTGTTAGAATCTGATCACAAAACGTGCTGAAATTCTACATATTTGTAGTGCATTTACACAACTAGGTAAACTCTGATTATTTTGAATGGTTATTCTCTCTGAATTGACGGATTGATTGAATCTAATTCGCAAATGGAATCTTTCGATTCATTTTAATACAGCATTGAGTATTGTATTCTGTCAATTACTTCGTAACTTGAATGTCCTACATCATATTATTGTTACTGAATCCCCATGGGTAAAATGATTATTAAAATGAGTGGTGTCATAACTTTTTTATAGATAAATATACTTGGTTGTAATATCTTTTTTTGGTGTATATTAATGATACCCTGCCATATTCAATGTCTAAGCAATATAGACCTATAATGAAGTATCAACTTAATAGTGATAGGTTCTATCTGCAGAAGACTGATGACTACGTTAAACTTAATAAATAGAGAAATCCAACAAAATATCTTTCTGTCAATTCCCAAATTTTCAATGAACATTCTATGTCAATATTTTTTAACAGAAGTTCTAATTTCTACAGATTAACTTAATACTTCGTTTTGAGAATAACATATGAGAAATTGACATGATTTGTCAATCTAAGGTTAGACATATTGTTTAACTCTCTGTTCTGATAATTCTGTTTCCTTAATTTAGTAAATTTTATTCAACTGACATCAATTTGTAAAGATCATGTTATACAATTTTCTATTAATCTTCTTACATGTAAATTATGTACAATTATTTTCTTTACATCACATAACTATTGTTTATTTTTATTTGTCTTGTTTTCTTATCTCTCCTCTCCGTTCTGTTCCGATCTACTCTGGGTTTGTGCTCTTTTTTTTTCTTCATATACTATGGGTGTGAATGGATTGATTTCGCTCATCTTATACTGCGTTTGCCTTTTTTTTGTTAACTGATTAAATGGTTTTTAATTAAAATAACCACTTTATATATATTAACCGATCAGTTAATAACAGTAATACTATGACGCTAAATAGAATGTTTTCAAAATGTTTACATAATCAACCAACTGGCACATTACCTAGTCATCAAAGATCCTTATCAACCCGAAAACATGTTTCATCAGTTAACAGTTGTTTCTGTGTTACTAATGCTGCTGAGTTACCAAGATGTAATGAACAGAATTCTTTCGCTAGTTGTTATCACCATAACAATAAAAGTATTTCTGAATCCGTTGTAAGTGTAAACTGTGAACAAGATTTCTTTACACCACAGTTGTATGTTCAGAAAAAATTAGTCGGTGAAGAAAATCGCAACAAACACTCACCTTGTCTTAATCCTTCCGAATCTATTGTGGAAAAAATACTTGGGAATGGGGTTGATCATGATGATCATCCACCTCCTAACCATAGTTTGTTTGTACAACAAACTTCATGTAGCCCAATCAATTCTTCAGTTTCTCCTTCTGCTGACAATAGATCACCACCTCCAATTCAGCCAAAACCGGTTCATTTAAAGCATCATCAAGCAATAAGTCAATATCATATCAATCGAAAAACGGCACCTCGAATGTCACGTCCATGTCCACCGCCTCGAACTTGTAGTACATTAAGTTCTCTTGGTTGTTTAGCAATGAAATCTGGTGTTAGTATGCCATGTGATTTGAATATGCCCGATCCATCATCATCATCGTTACGTTGTAAAATTTCCCATTATATGAATGATGATTTTTATGAAGGTAATTGCTCTGCCAAGTGATTAAAACTTTTTTCCTATACTTCTTAATAGGATTAATCATGCAAATTCTTCATCCTTAGTTATTACATTTCTTTTAGTTTACCTGATTCTTCATTTTATACTTACATTTAACTGACTATCTTGTCATTCTTTTCACCAATAACACATTGAAATCTATTTGATTCGCTTCATTCATGCACTTGTTTGCACGCCCTTTTTCAATGCTAAAAGATACAGTTCAATCATATTTATTCGGTTTACTTTGTTTATTTATTAACACTCATACTAATGAGGGGAATGGTGTTTTCCGAGTTTGAGCAATATAATATAGTTTTTTTTTCTTTTAAAATAAAAATAAAATAAAAACCTTTAACTCCTAGATATATCTGTACATGCTCTGTAGTTGTACATCTGTTAATAATGCAGCTATTCTAAGTTCTTCTTGCTTCACTGAATGCACTGTTCAATGTTGATTTTCTTTTTCACTTGTATCGAAATTAATACACAAATGTATTGAGTGCTTAATTGAGTATCTATTTACTTTCCAACATTTACTAGTATTACATAATATTGCTGTCTTAGTTTTACTCATTGTATAAATATCGTTATTAGTATTAGTTATATTCATAAAATTATAGATATACGTTACATATCATATGGTTTAATAATCCTATAAAAATGTGCCATTACATAATCCTAGTTTGAATAATTGAATTTACAACGGTATATAATGTAATCTATGAGAGCACATGTAACATTGATTTAATAAACTGATAAAGAGACTGAAAACCATGAATTAATTTAATCATATGAGGTCAAATTAAAATATTGTTCATCTTCATAATCACTTTTAAAACTCACATTAATATAATTAAAATAACCACCAATATCCTTCATCATATCATATCATAAGATTTATTACACTCAAAAATATTCGTGAGTGTAAATTTGTGCACGAGCAGGTCCTTTCTGATGGAGTTTTGTTTTCTGAGATGGATGGTTTAGTTGTGGAGCTTTCATCGAGGTCTACAGGACAAGCTGTAAACCACATGTAGAGAAATTCGAACACTTCACTTCTACCTGAAGTTTGTGCTGATTATGTCATTCAGAAGAACGATGAAAGCTCCACAACCAAACCATCCATCTCAGAGAACAAAACTCCATCAAAATCATCCACCTGAGCTACAAATGTCCACTATCTCAAGTGGGTACTTTCATTTCACTGTAATCTTCCTTTGATCTAAATTACCCTTAAAAGAGTGATAAATCAGATAATGAATATATACCTTTTTTATACGAAAAACAGATATAATAGCTTCTTTGCATATTTCTTGAACATACATGTTATCATTTTCAATAATTCAAAGTAATCTTTATGTCAAAGAATTCTTATCAAGTAACAAAGTTGATTACAATACATTTTTTGAGTAATTGAAATGATTATATCATAAACTTACATAATATCATAAAGGGATAGTGTTTTTTATAAAACCTAGGATTCCTAAGCCGATGATTCTCACATTAAGCATAATACTATCCAAGTCAAATTACAAAAGTGTACAGTTTTACAATTTGAATTAGTTCTTAGACTTGTTTGATGTTGATTGTCATGAGTAGAGATGACATCATCACCTGAATCCCAAGAACTGTATTTTACGTTTATGAAGTATGATATTTATTTGTTTTTTAACAAGTGCTGAACAAACGAATGAAATTTAACGTGATTAAATAAAAATCTTACAAATGAACTAAATGCGTTTGTAAATCTCCACTTGTTGACGTAGGTAAAATATCTTCAGCTTTCTCAAAGGAAAGGAATACTTCACGTTTTTGCTATTGTTTTCACCATACTGAACTATTTCTTCTGTGTATTACTGCAGGTATACTTGTATAACAAAATTAAATACATAACTAAGTGAACTGAACCGCTCTTATAATCACTTATTAACAATTCACCGTAATATCTGTTTCAAAAGAACAGTTTCAAACCAAGAGTAGTATCCAGTAAATTGAAGTACTACTTGGTTCCACTTTTTATTGACATTTTGTAGATCAGTTAAACACTGCTGTCATATAATGTAGTTTGACTGTATTTGACCGTTCATATGCATCTTTTTTGGGTCTAATAGCTTTTAGTCGAATGAAGAAGGGATTCATACTGTTTATTATTAGCCAACAACATTATTATACTATGCTAAGTGTTAAAATTACTTATGCAAACTCTTTACATTTAGAGAAAAATGTTGACTATCGATAAACTCCATTCTCGTTCACAATTTTGACCTTGCACCTGGTAACCAACCAAAACGAAGCGTGAATTATTATTTACACTATCGTAATTAATTATGGAGGGTGTGTTTCGGTATTGTCGTAATCACTGACTACGATACACTCAGATGACAGACTACGTAAAGTTTCTCCTCGACCAAGATCTATTGATTGATGGTAAATTGCTATTTCGCATCCCTTTTTATTTTCTATTGTATGTCTCTGTAAAACAATTAACAAAACTCTGGTTTTTCCTATCCCCAACACAAATTTGTGAGTTCTTGCTATATATATATATATATATATATATATATATATATATATATCAGTGTTAGATTGGTTCCATGGGTGTATGTTCGCACTACAACAAGACCATTGATTTGCTCTGGTTAATTTTATTGTCTTCGCACTTTCCTATTATTGTTGCTATGGTTTATTACACTTTAAAGAATAATTTCTTAGAACTGTAATTTTATAGAGATGATCACCTGTTAATTATTAGAAAAGAATTATACCAGAGATAATGGTAATAAGTGGGCAAATATATTGTGTAGTTCTACACATAGACAACACATGTATTAAAGATTTACTTAACTAAAGGATTTCTGCTAATTGAGTGGGAGATCATTATCGTAATTTTTACATGGAATGATGTATGCTCTACAGTTTTTGATTTGAATAAATAATCATGAATTATATTAATTCCCGATTATATTTTATTGGTGTAAAATGCAATACCATTGTCCCACAAATTTCATTCCACCTCTGGGATATATATATCTTTATTGATTAGTGGTAATATAGACTACTTCTGTTTTGTAGTATATAGAGTTTCAAGTGTTTTAATATCAAAATTTTCATCATTCCGTGAAATTTTCACGAAAATAAAACATGAAGAGGTAGAGATCAGGAAAGAAAGAATAATACCTAATGAAGTTGAAGTATGAAACAAAACTCCTGATAATATTTTTCTTTATGATATAAAGACCAATTAATATAGGGAAGTGTGTATGTTTGTTGAAATGTCCATTAATTTACTAGATTGCATAATTTTATTGGTTTCTTGTCTTCACATTGACATATAAATTCAAAATATTTTTTCTCGATCTAAAGTTAGTCGGAATACCATCGAAAACTATAGAATATTGGACAGCTTTTCAACAATGCTCACTCATGACTCCATAGCATGTTTAAACCAAGGAAATGTAGAAAATTCCTAATGCTTTCAGACTAACAGATTGTAATCCTTTGCACTAAATTTCCAATATTGATCAATCGGTAGCATAATGTAATCATCTAATGATATGTCTATAAACGTGTTGTGCTGAAGAATTTCAAACCGTAACAAAATAGCTGTTCAGTGCTCTTTGAACTTCAATAAGTTTTCAGCGAATATCAGTTTGTGGTGAAAGTTATTCCTAGTAAAATATAGATCCTAATTATTTGACAATGATGCCGACGTGACTAGTTCTAATCTATAGGGTTAAAGATGTTTCAGAATTGAATTACTTGTATTTATATGAAACGATGTGCATATGCAGTGAATGGGATTTCACATCAAGTTTCTTACTTCGACTCTTGACACTGGTTTTCTAACTGCTTTCTAGTTCCTAGAAACCTCTTACAATTGAGCCTCTAACAGAATTTTCAAGGTAGAGAGTACGAACAGAAGCTTTACTGTTAAAGCTAAAATTTAACTTCAGTAAATATGAATATTTTAGGTTTATGTATGATCTTCATCTTTTAGAAGCTTTTTGAAATTAATGACAAAATCAGTAATAATCTAGTCAGTAATCCATCATTTTTGTAGAACTCTGTTTCTTATTGAATATTGATTCTATAAAGCGTTTTCAGCCTTATCTCAGCTCCCGAAAACATATCTGAGAAATCCTTGAGGACTTCTAATAGTATAATAGCATATGTAATGTTGTATGTAATTGTCAAGTATACAAGGGAATATATAGATGAACTGGGCTACTAAGATATTTGGTAGAACTTGAGAAAACTTTCAGGATATTTCTGCATTTTTTAAAGTTATATATATATATATATATCCTACCTATTCGACTAACATGCATATCACAAATCTCTTATACTCTTTATTTTTCTGTTTTTTTTCTAAAGTGCAATAACTTATTTCGTCTTAATTTATTACACAAACATTATTCAAATACATTACACAATGTTGTTGGTTTGTTGTTTTCCCACTTATATTTTATAAATGTTTATCAAATATTGATGATTCATTTACATTCATGTAATCACATTGGCGACTCCGTTCAGACATTATGTGTTGATTGTTTTTGTTGTTTGTGTTGTTGTGGTTTTTATTGGTCTACACGTTCTTTCATAGGGACTCTTGTGATTAGCGTGTTTTGTCGCTTTATTTGTTTTTTGTTATTCACTTTTTGTATTGGTATTGATAGTTAGCTTTAAGTCTTGACTGACATTTCACTCCAAAAAGAAAAAACCCAACAACGACTATGCTAAATGAACTAGATTTTTATAGTTTAGTATACCATCGATTTGATAGCGACATTTTTTCTTTAAAACTTGAAACTATGCATAAACATTTCTGTAATTGTCAACTTATCAGATATTAATGCGGTCACAATTACATAGGCTCTTTGAAATTGACATTTTTACGATGATGAATTATGGCTTGTATACGACTAAATCAATCAATAACTCTCACTGCCATTGTTTACCCTGAATTGTAATGTAAAAGTCTTG